CCCCACCCCCCCCCACGCCCCCCCCGCTCCCTCTGCCCCCACAACGCTCTCCCCGCTCACTCTGACCCCCCACAACGCTCTCCCTCGCCAACGCCTCCCAAGGTGTAGCTGCAGGTCACCATGGCACCAAAACCGCCGGCCCACTGATCTGACACTCGGGGCAGCCCGACCCCACCTGCCCTCCCGTGCTCACCCCCTCCCGCCACAGATCCTGCAGCACAGCCTCCCCTGGTGCCTGGGCCAGAGCACGGAGCCCTTCACGTGTCTTGTCTCTACGTCAGCTGCAGGAGTGAGAAAGGAAGCCCTAACGTCTCCCACCTCCAGGGTCTCACCCTGTCTCCTCTTCAGGCAGTCTGCTGGAGGACTAGGAGGAAGGCGCACCATGGACGGAGTCATCCCCACTCTGCGGTGCAGGAGCTCCTGAGACCCGGCCCCCCACGAGCCCCTGTACCTGACAGATAAACCCGAAGGAGTAACTCTTCCAGCAGGGTAGAGACAGAAAGGATTGAAGAGAGCAGAAGTGCAGAAAGTGGCTAGACAGGCCGGGTGAGCACAGGAACGGGGCAGGGCCCTTGGCAGCCACCGGCGCTAAACGTGGCAGATGACTGGTGGGAGGCCCCGCCTATGAAGCTGCACACGAAGACTCGGCATTGTAAGACGGACTCAGTGTTCTGAAATGTGGCTTAGGGACATTTAAAAACGGCTAGCTGCCACACTTTGCTAGTCGAGGAGCAGTTTCAGCTACAGCTGGAGAAGGCACATCTCGCCCTGACACCGAGGCAGACAGCGCAGTGTGCTGGGCTCCGGGAACCCGGCTCTCCGGGCGAAGCTGCGGTGCCTCAGGAGAACGCCGACCTAGGGACCAGCTCGCTACCATTACCTCGCGACTTCTGGTCGTGACAGATGACCTAGCAGGGATTTATAAAGTCGGGATGTGACACCACCGGCTGGGAGCGTGACCAAGGAGTGGCAGGGGAGCGCTGCCACCAGCAAATTCAGATCGCTCCACTCCACGCTGAACGCGCAGCCTGCCCCAGAGACACAGTGGAGCCCACGGGCCTGCGGTGCAAGGGCGGCGCCCACGGCCCACCTCAAGGCGCACCTTGAAGTCGAACGTGTAGTTCGTGTAG